CTGAGGACCTACAGCGCCATCATGGTGCGGCACCCAGGCTTCGGCGTCGCCGCTGCAGCGTGATCATCCTCTCCTAGAAGCCCCCCCACGTCGAACCTTAGATTCTTCAAGTTCTTGGCGAACAAGTTCAGATAACGCACTCCCTGGGGCGTATGCCCCCAAACGACCTTGAGGGACACGGCGCCATATTTCTTCCAACCTGTGCTCCTCTTGCGACCGGGCATCCGAGCGGAATACCGCTTGCCAGACTTGCCGTGCTGCGAAAACGCCCATGTGCCTGCAGGGCTCGACCTAAACGATGCGTTGCTGGATTTCGGGCGTCGTTGTGTTTCTCGTTTTGGCAAGGGGGCGCAACAGAACAGGCGGGCGAGAACGAGAAACAAGACGGAAAGAAAACGAACAACACCGTTAGGTCGAGCCCAATGCGCCTGTCACGTTGATCATCGTGAAATACATGTCCATGCAAGATCCTTTCTGCTCCACGGAAGCCCGCACGCGAAGGTTCGCGCGGCGCCGTCCTGCGCGCCGCGGGACGACGATCATGTCGTAGCCGCCCGGATGCTGGATGTCGAAATGCTGCCCGAGCACGTTGCTGACGTGGGGGTCGCCAACTGCCGAAACCGGCGACTGCTCTGAAGGAGACGTCGGGCTTGGCGTCGGGCCGGGGGTCGGGGTCGGTTCCAGCGTCGGCAATGGCGTGGGCGCTGACTATGGCGCTGATGTTGGTGCCAGTGTTGGAGCCGCTGTTGGTGCCAGGGTCGGTTCTGGCGTAGGCGCTGGCGTTGGCGCTGGCGTTGGCGCTGGCGTTGGCGCCAGCGTTGGTGCCAGAGTTGGTGCCAGTGTTGGTGTGGGGGTCGGTTCCAGCGTCGGCAATGGCGTAGGCGCTGGCGCTGACGTTGGCGTTGGCGCTGGTGTTGGATCTGGTGTTGGAGCCACTGTTGGTGCCAGGGTCGGTTCTGGCGTAGGCGCTGGCGTTGGCGCTGGCGTTGGCGCCAGCGTTGGGCTGGGCGTTGCTTTGGCGTAGCAAACAAGATCATTCTGCAGCACCGTTGTGATGGGAGAGGTGCAGGCCAAACTGCATCCAAGCGACAGCTGAGAATAACACGCAGGGGGCATTGCCGCCGCAGCTTCGCCCACGCTAGGGTACAGCACGCAGTATGCGCCTGCGTTCCAACCGACAGCCTGGCACCAATCGTAAGACGCGCACATGCCCTTGCACGCGGTTTCACCAGGCCATAGGCAAACGAAGCGCCCAGGCATCTGACCATCCGACGTCCGACAATCGCCAGCGCCAACGAACACCCATTCGTCAGTCATGCTCCTGACCGCGAACCCCCGCGCAGTCTGATTCACCCGAACTCGGGAGTTTTCCGCGATCCCGGATCTGGCGCCAGAGCCGATGGGATTGATCCGAATTGCATTCGCCGCCACTGCCCACGAGATTACAATGCTTAAGTGGAACGCAAACATGTCAAAGTGCAAACGCACAAGAGGCAATGTCAACATCGAGCGCGTAACGTGTAAAGGATGTGCTTTGGAAAATGGAAACTCGGGTGGACCGCCGGATCTCACGTCTAGCGCGAGCCAAAAGTGGATGAGGAGGAGGAGAACAGATCACGCACGGGGCCAGGAGCAAGCTGTCACACATCGCGTAAAACACCTCGGACCCCCCCCCCCCCCCCGATCAATTGATTGCTCGCGCGTCATCCGCGCGCTCACCGCGAAGCACTCCCTGCTATGGGTCGGGAAGTCTGTCGCAGGGGGTCGAACAATGATTTTTCTACATCAAACACAAACAATATCGGCATTATGCTCGAAGTCGCCCGAGGGAAGTAGTCAGACACATGATGAGATTGGCTGTTTCGAATACGACGCATCAATAGAAGGCTCCCAGATTGGGTCGGAGCAGACGGGGTCGGAGGACCGCGCCGCATCGCCGATGCATCGGCGATGCATCGGCGATGCCTCGGCGATGCACCGGCGATGAGGCGTCGACGTGGGCGATGCATCGGCGACGTCGACGTGGGGGATATGGGGCTCCACGTCGAGCTGCATCGGCGATGCATCGGCGATGCGGCGCGATCCTCCGACCCCATCTACTCCGACCCCATCTGGGAAGCCTAGAATCAAGAAGCTCGGCACCTATCCGCAACCGTCCTTGCACCGCGTAGTAAAGCGCCCCAAGACTCACGAAGGGATCGGTTCGGTTCGGTTCGGTCCAGTCCTGCACCCGGTTCGTAAGCAGACAAAAAACAATCTAAAATAAACTATTTCATTTTTTGCGCGCAGCACGCCCCCACCCCCCGGGGCCCCCCAGTGCCAACGGCGGCGCAGGTCGCCCCACCGACGCAAGCGAATGCCGCCCGTTTAATGGCGAGACAAACTCCGACAAATGTCCAAGCCAAGCAATGCCCCAAACGCCTCCCCCCTGGCACAACCTAACGTTGCGCTCGGCGGGGTCGATCATCGCGCAGCGGATTTCGGAAACATTCCGAGCGCCCCTCGCGCCGACGCCAAACGACCAGAAAAGAAGAGGGGGATGGATAGGTCAGGCGTGGAGAAGCCTACTCACCGCCGTTACTGCTGCCGTTTAGGTATCATGAAACACCTGTCATGATAAATACAAAACCCGTTCCACAACCCAGGCGGCGACGTGCTTAGCATGTCACCTGCGGGGGGCGGCGGGCCAGCAGGAGACATCTGCATGAATAAAGCTAACACTCGTTTGCTTTGAACACTTCGGAAGGCGCGAGGGCGCGCCGGCACCGATCGACCCACAACCATGGCGATAGAAGGTCGGGCTCCAAAGGCGCGGCCATGTGCCAGGGCTGGCGACGCGCGCGGCCCCCAACCAACATCGACTGGGCCAAGACCCCCTTGCACTCTGCAGAAGACCCCGGGAACCGCCACTCCGTGAATATGAAAGCGGCATGCTGCCAGCGCCGGGGCTTGGATCACACAGCGCTGAGCCCCAGTAGGGGGAGAAAGCGACGCGAGCGCGAACGCCGAAGAAGTGAGGAGAACAATGATCAGAGGAGGGCCGTTTGAGACACTGGTAGTTGGCACTCAGGGGGCCCCCTCCTCGCCGCGGCTGGACGCCGCGCAGAAAACTGGTGCGCTCGGACGCGGGGAGGGGTCCGAGGACCGACTTTGAGCTCCCAGTGCCCCAATAAGCCCTGTTCCGAAATAAAGGTAATAACGCATTTTTTCAATATTCTCCTGGCGGAAATCCCGCGCCACTGTTTTCGCCAGCGGCGACATGGCGAGCCAGAGAAGCGCCGTGCGCGAACACGCCTGCCACAGGACCCACGAAAGACGCATGGAAAGCGGGCTACCTGGCAGCGGATGAAGGCATTCCTAAACATGCGTCGCTGGTTGCCACTGAAGGAATCGGCATCGCGCCCTGGGTGCTCTCTCCACGCCAGTGGCCCTTCCCCTAAGCGACACGCAAAGGAAAATATTGCATGCGGGTCCAAAGCTGGCCAAACTCTTCGCGCTCTCTTAGGATCAGGGGTGTCCGAAAAACGGGCATGACAATAAACTCAGGAGGTTGTCTAACCATTACAACCTCGCTCTGCTCGATCGGGCCCTGGATGGTAAACGTTGGATCTGTCCCAGACCTTCTGCAATTCGGCGCATTGGGCACGGCGGGAAAAACCAAAAACGAAAAACGCGGGCGGGAAATGACACATGACATTGAAGTCCGAACTCATCGCGCCGAAATCTCAGCAACCCTAGCTGCCGAGAAAAGGCTGCCAACACATGACTGCACAACCGTCCAATCGTTTACCCTACCCTATGACTGAAGCCCTGTCCGTGTCGTTCACTGCCATGTGGCGTCCTAGGTCCAACTGGAAATCCTAGAGGGTGTTCATCGCATCGCACTGCCTGTCTTGATGTTGGGGCCCGCTGGAAACATATACGGAACGACAAGGGAATCCCAAAGGAGGCCTTTGAGATTTCTGAGGCGGGCCCCAAAGAGCCCAAAGGCAAGTTACACCGCGCAGCTTGGTTCGGGAGCTCTTTGGAGGCCCCGCGAAATCCCAGGGAACCCCAGAGAGGGCCACAAACAACTCTGAGGCGGACTCCACGATGGCCCCAGAAGGCTCCAACAAATGTTGCATCGTGTAAGTCGTTCCAGGAGCCTTCTGGGAGCCTCTGCGGGGCCCCGCGCTCAACTCCCCGAGCCCTGAAAACGATGTCGCAAGTTCGGCGCGCGCCAAGGGCGTGCTATGCTACGGGATCGGCTTGCGCCGCGGGCGTGCAATGTCGCGGAGACGGCGCGCGCCGCGGCATGTAAAACCAAGAAGCCATAAGGTACCGACTGGAAGTGGGACGCCATCAACGCACAAGCCGAAATTTTGGAATTCACGCCCGCATCTCTGCCCCCAACGGAACTCTTGCACACGGACTTGCTGGCGCGGGGGCCGGCCGGGCCCACTGACTCGCCGACCCCGTTACATCGCAGCCGCATTTTGCGCGCCTGCTGCTCCTACCTCCTGGTTGCGACTCCAGGGCGCTGCGTTGCCCTCCACCCACTCCTCCTCCCTCCCCCCTCCGACCCTCGCCCCCCTCCCTCCTCCGTTCGATTTCGGGCCCGGGGCAACTGTGCAATTTCGCCGGTCATGCATTCGCACGCGCGCGATCACATGGTTGGGCCCTCCGCGCCCGCCGACGACTCGAAGCGGTGAAACCGCAGGATTAGTCGACGACTCTGGCAACGCCTGGTTTCAACGGTGGAATCTGCGGTCGAAACGAACGCCTTCACCAGCGGGCCTGGGGATGCCAGCCCACCCCCCCGATCTCCCCCCCCCTCCTCCTCATTCTGCTCCTCCCCCCGACTCCTTCCTCATCGACCTGTCCCTTCTTATTTTCCTCGTCGGCCTTTCTGCGAGGGGCCCTGCCGGGGGCCCTCGAACTGCCACAAAAAAACACGCGAGAACCCGCGAAGCCCCAAGAGTCCCCAACAAGCGTCTCCAGGGGGCCCCGCGATAGGGATCGGACGGGGCACATGGATCGGGGGGCGCGCGCGCGAGCTCCAAGAGAAGCTGTTTCATCTGGGGTGTCAGCCGTTGTTATGTCTCTCCTTTCTGTTGCCATCACTGGTGGACCCGGGGCCCTGAAAACCTGGAGCCAGCCGGCGATGCTGGCAAGAGAGCCCGATCCTCGGAAATCCCTGTGTTGCGGGCGAGTCGTCTGGACCACTGTGATTGGCTTTGTTGCAATGAAAAACAGATTCCCTGTTGCCTTAAACATTACCTTTTCCCTACAGTACGTATCGGCGCTGGCACGTTAAGTATGACTTACGGCCCCTGGGCGACCCCCCCCCCCTGCGCGCGCACGCGCGCGCGCCGCGCAGTAGTCGGAGAATAATGACTACGAGCCGTATGCTTCGAATTTAAATGGCCCGGGCACGCCCCCTAGTTGTTCGCGCACAGCCAACGCTTTGCGCAGCGCTGCGAAACAAGCCTTCTTACAGTTGCCGTGTTTGTGGTAACCGAAGGACCTCGTCGTGCCAACGATGGGCCGATAGACCTGCCACC